TTCTATTTCTCATGTATATTTTGTTTCTCTCTTTCTCCTTTTGCATGAAGTGAATATTTCTAAAAAATATATATTTTTATTGATTTCAGAGAGGAAGGGAGAGGGAGAGAGAGATAGAAACATTAATGATGAGAGAGAATCATTGATTGGCTGCCTTCTGCATGCCCCCTTCTGGGGATCGAGCCCACAACCTGGACATGTGCCCTGACTGGGAATTGAACTGTGACCTCCTGGTTCACAGATCGATGCTCAACCACTGAGCCACACCATCCGGACATGAAGTGAATATTTTTAATGTAACATTTTAATTTCTTTATTTTTTCACTTTTTAGTCATTTCCTATATAAATGTGCAAAATGTACTGTGTACATTTTAGCTGATCAGAATCTGCTTTAGATTTATACTTAATTCCAATGAGATAAGGAAACATTACTCCTATATAGACTGTTTCCCTTCCTCTTTTTTATGGTATTGTTAATACACATTACATCTGTATGTAATAAAACCAACATTGTTATAATTCTTACCTTATGCAATTTCATATCTTTTAAAAGCTATGAGAGAAGAAGAGTAAGCATGTACTTATAGCTTTTGTTATATTAGCCTTTTTATTTTCTTATTTCTAGTTTTGTTCACTCGTTTCTGTGTATTTGAGTTTCCATATGGAGTCATTTCTTTAGTCCAATACAGTTTTGCACCCAGATATCTCCCATGAGCAGGTATTTGCAAATGTACTGTTGGGCCTATAACATGTAGAAACATAATTATGCACACATTGTTTTGTAAAATTGCTTTTAAAATCAGTTATGGGAGGAGAGGCTGTATCAGATACATGATTTGTAAATATTTTTTCCTACTTTTTAGGTTCCATTTTCAATTTGTTGATGGTTTTCTTTGCTGTGCAGCAGCTTTTTTGTTTGATGTAGTCCCATTTGTTTATTTTTGCTTTCGTTGCCTTTGTGTTTGGTGTCAAATCCAAAACATCACTGCCAAAACTGATGTCAGGGAGCCTCTGAGCTATGTTTTCTTCCAGGAGTTTTGTGGTTTCAGGTTTCACTTTCAAGTCTTTAATTCATTTTGAGTTGGTTTTTGTGTATGGTGTGCTGTGCAGTTTTTTTTTAGCACTATTTATTAAAAGACTGTCCTTCCCCTATTGTATAGTCTTGGCTCCTTTTTCATAAATTAGTTGACCATTAGTGTGTTTTTATGCCAGTACTATACTGTTCGATTACAGTAGCTTTGTAATAGAATCTGATGTTTTCCTTTCTCAGGTTGTTTTGGCTATTTGAGGTCTTTTGTGGTTCCATACAAATTTTAAGATTGTTTGTTCTATTTCTGTGAAAAATGCCTTTGTAATTTCGAGAGAGATTACATTGAATCTGTAGATTGCTTTGGATAATATGGACATTTTAACGATATTACTTCTTCCAGACCATGAGCACAGACTATCTTTCCATTGTATCTTCTTTAATTTCTTTCATCAATGTCTTAATAGTTTTTATTGTATACCAGACACATTTCAGAATGATGATGTTAACAAAATAATGCTGTCTGTATATTTATAGTTTTCACATTGCATTCATCAGTATTTTATCTCAGATCTTTGCAAAATGAACCAAACATAAAATCTTTAGGCGTTTTTAAGATACACCTTTTTCTAAGTTACATCAAGTGTCTTCTAACCTTCATTACTTCCTACCACCCTCTTGTGATGGAGGCTAATGACAACTGCCCTTGTTACTGCAGTTGGTGGGGTTAATGAGATCCTTGTCAGTGCTTTTTTTTTTTTTTTTAAAAATATATTTTTATTGATTTTTTACAGAGAGGAAGGGAGAGAGATAGAGAGTTAGAAACATCGATGAGAGAGAAGCATCGATCAGCCGCCTCCTGCACACCTCCCACTGGGGATGTGCCCGCAACCAAGGTACATGCCCTTGACCGGAATCGAACCCGGGACCCTTCAGTCCGCAGGCCCACGCTCTATCCACTGAGCCAAACCGGTTCCGGCATGTGCTTTTTCTAAGTTGGGGATTAGTGAGTTATTCAGTTCTGTGAAGTCCAGTCTATTATAAATATTTGGTTAATATTAAGTGATGATGATGGCAGGGCCATTAATTCTGTCTAGGTCTCCTGCCTCCCATGTCAGTGCTTGTTTCATTGAGTTCATAGTTCCTCGGTGTTTCAGATCATAGCCCTCTTTCATATCAAGCTAATTACTTTGTCCAGGTTTACACTTTTGCCATGTGTTACAGCTGTGTTCAGAAGTTTTGTATTAACTGGGGAAATCTCTGAACTCTGATTACCCAGTGGGCCAACAAAAGAATATTGGATTTTCCCAGATTAGACCTTTCTAGTATTTTCAGCTTTAGTTCTAGCCCCCAAATTCTTATTAGCTGCAAAGCTATTTTCTTTAGAATGTCCCTGGTATTTGTTATTTATATAGCATATCTCATTCAGTCACATGCCTTTCATCTGCTAGCATCTTTTCTTTCTGAGAAACTTTTAGTAATGGCAGGAAAGCTCTAGGGTTCAGGCGATCTTTGCAATGCCTAGGTTATAATGTAGATTGCTATTTTTGTTTTTGTGCTGTCAAGGAAGCGTATGATGATATTTGAGGGCTGGGAGTGCTCTTGGAAGCTCAGTTATTTCAGCTTTTCATGAAAACGTATGCAATTTGAATTGAGGATTACTGACTAACATTAAATCTGTTAGGTCAGTGGTCGGCAAACTCATTAGTCAACAGAGCCAAATATCAATAGTACAACGATTGAAATTTCTTTTGAGAGCCAAATTTTTTAAACTTAAACTATATAGGTAGGTACATTGTTATTAACTTAATTAGGGTACTCCTAAGGCTTAGGAAGAGCCACACTCAAGGGGCCAAAGAGCCGCATGTGGCTCGCGAGCCGCAGTTTGCCGACCATGGTGTTAGGTGAATGGTTGATGGGTAACTAGAAATTTTAGTGGAACCAAATAACACCACACAGAGAAATTCCTAGATGTAAGGGTGAAAACATAGTGGGTGGGTCAGTCTTCATTACCCAAACTCATTGGTTAATCTTAGCAGTTCTTATGTTGGCTTAGCCTTTTATCGTCTGTCATTTGATGTGCTGTTATATAAAGTTCAGAGCACCATCTATGATGTATTTTAGCCAAAAAAACACTTTAGCATGACTCCATTGGGCAGTTGATTTTTAAAATTTGATATTCCTAGAAACTACTAGTAATCTACAAGCAAGCACTGTAGGGAAGCAGTCAGACAGAAGATGAGTCCTTCTGCACTCAGTAAATCAATATCATAAAAATAGAGATGTGCTATATTCAAAGAGACTTAAGAGACAAACAATTTGATACAGTGCATGGTCTTGAATAGGATACTGACTTGGGTAAGTCAGCTGTAAAGAAATTTTGGGGGTTAGGGAAATTTGGAAATAATCTAGATGTCATATGAAATAAAATTTACTAAAATGGAGAGGTCGGAACTCACCAGATTTCCTTTTCAAAATATTGATGAGAAAAATCTGGTTACCAAAAAATAGTATATAGATAGAAAAACATATAGACAGAAAAAAATCTGGAAGTACATGCAATGCAGTGTTAGTAGTGGTTCTTTCAGGGGATGGGATGATGGGGTTTCATATATTATTTTTTGCTTATTTTTCTCTCCTAAGTTTTTGCATGTCCTGTTTCTGTGTTGAAACAAACTTATTTTTAAAAATATATATATTTACCCATCCTGTACAGATGGTTTGTTTTAGAATATTTTACAAGTTTTTTTCTTGATAAGATTTTATAATTTTTAGGATACTTTTTTGAACTGGTCTTTAGATTCTATATGCATTTCTCTTTTATTTTTTATTATGAAAATATTAAACACATACAAAAGTAGATAGAATAACATAATGAATTTTTATGTTCCCATCATCTGGCTTCAGCAATGACCAGTTATGCCCAGTTTATTTAATCTGTACCCACCATTTCTTTCCACCCATTATTTGAAGCAAATCCCACATCATATCTTTTCATTCATAAATAGTTCACTATTTATTTATGAAAGATAAAAACATAACACACAATACTAAACAATATATAAATGAGATAATATCCTTATTATAGTCAAATATTCAGTCATTGCTCACTTTTCTTCACTTGTCTCATAAGTGATTTTCTCTAATTATATTGTTTGAATCAGAGTACAAATAAGTTCCCGACATCACAATTGGTTATGTTCCTTCTCCTCCACCATATTTTCCCTTTCGATTTATTTACGAAGAAACTAGGCCAGCCGTGGGCAAACTACGGCCCGCGGGCCGGATCCGGCCCATTTGAAATGAATAAAGCTAAAAAAAAAAAAAGACCGTACCCTTTTATGTAATGATGTTTACTTTGAATTTATATTAGTTCACACAAACACTCCATCCATGCTTTTGTTCCGGCCCTCCGGTCCAGTTTAAGAACCCATTGTGGCCCTCGAGTCAAAAAGTTTGCCCACCCCTGAACTAGGCCCTTTATTTTTAATAATTTCTCACATTCTGCATGCTCTCTCAACCTTTGAATGCCTAAGACAGGAAACTGTTCTGTAGAATGCATCTGAGCAGGGTTCCCATTTAAAGTTTACAATATAACATATTTATGGAATGTTTGTAAAATCTGTAAATTGAAAGGGTCCATTTCTATCCTGAAGTACTTTGAGTTTAACACTCTTACAGCTTTGATTATTTCAGTAAGAGGAAACAGCTATTGAAATGCAATACACTGGGGTGGACTTGAGAGATATCAGTCACACAAATTTTAAGGTAGGAACTCGCCAGATTTTCTTTTCAAAGCTAAGTGAAAATTTACCCTGAAAGTATACTCTGGTGTAATGGGATTATCTTGAAATATTACTATCCTTAGAGAGCTCAGTCAGTAAGTGTGCTCTCTAATGTGATACCTTGTACTCCTGCTGAGGCTACTGAAGTCAAGATTTACATTGACTATGTATTGATTTTCTCCAATGATTGCAGGTTGAAGATGGCAGTGATGCAGAGACCTATGGAGAGGAGAATGATGAACAGGGAAATTATTCTAAGAGAAAGATAGTCTCTAACTGGGATCGATATCAAGATACTGAAAAAGAAGTCGATAATGAAAGTGGAGAATCGCAGAGGGGGACGGACTTCAGTGTTCTCCTGAGCTCTGCAGGTATGAATTCCAGTCGCTCACACACTGGTTGTGCTATGAATGTGGCAGAGACATTGATGTTCCTTTTTAAACCGCATCTTAGTAACTGGCAATTCATCGTTTGTCCCTTGGATTTTTAAATCCAGGTAAAGGACAGTGTGTCTAATGGCTTGCAAGGAAAGAATGGTGTCTAAGTGTATGTAAATGGTGTTTCTCTAAATGTATGCATATATGTAATATATGCTGATATAAATGTGCTGATATAAATGACTTAAGTTGCTGTTGAAGTGGATAATAGTCTTCATAGAAATGAAAAATGCTGAACCATGCTCCTCTCAAGTGGGCAGTCTGAGAAACAGCAGGGTTTTCTTTGATTTCAGAGGAATTGGTACTTATGTTTATAAAAAGCTTTATAGAGTTTCATGAATATATGATATTTCCCCCCTTATTTTATAGCCAGAAATATGCGTGTTAGTGGATATGCACATATTGGAGACATATGCACCTAAATACCAAAACTTTTCTTTTTTGCTTTGGACAGTCTTCTCTTTCAATAGTGTAAAAATCTCATTCCTCCTATGGCAAGCTATGTTTTTAAGGTTGATTCTCATCGATGTGGAACTGGAGGGTAGTTATAGGAGAAAATGGGGCAGGACTGGTTTTATAGATGGCTACTCCCTGTAGGATGGGACATAAGAAATTGAAGGATGAATGGAGGACAGACTAGTGGTTTTCAGGGGTTAGGGATGGGAGGGTGGGAGGTGGATGGGGTTATAAAAGGGCAGTATGATGGAGCCTTGTGGTGCTCCATCTGTGCAAGTGATAAAATGGTGTAGAACTTACACACACACACACGCACGCGCGCGCGCGCGCATACACACACGCCCAAGTGAGGGCAAATGAACCAGGGTAAGTCTGAATAAGATTGGTGGATTCTGCCAGTGTCTTGTCCATATCCTGGATGTGATAGTATACTGTAGTTTTACAAAATGTTATCATTGGAGGAAACTGGGCCAAGCGTATGAGATTTCTCTGTATTATTTCTTATAACTGTACTAGAGGCCTGATGCACGAAATTCGTGTAAGAGTAGGCCTTCCTTCCCCTGGCTGCCGGCACTGGCTTCCCTCTGGCACCTGGGACCCGGGCTTCCCTTGCAACCCCAGCTTCGTCTGGAAGGTCATCTGGTCTAATTAGCATATTATGCTTTTATTATTATAGATGTGAATCTATAATTACCTCAATAAAAATATTGCCAGGTTAAAAAAATTTAAAGGATTAAGATGTGGGAAGCAGTGAAATAATATGAAAATCATATTTTCAGTTTGTTTTGAATTCCCTACCTTTATGTTGCTTTAGAGTTCTGCCTTTTTTTCCGGTCTGCCTGTATTTTTTGAGTGCCTGTACCAGACTAAGAGTTATAAAGTGATGAGTTCTCTCCCAGCGTATTAGTTGGAAAGAAAGAGGTAAGTGGAGTGAGTATTAGTGTGAGTCAGAAGAGCCGGCTCAGTCTGGTGTCATTATTTGTATGGGGCACACAGTGTAACCACCTTAGGTAGAGGTTTGCTGATGGCATCCACCTCATTGACTGTTCAGGGCCTGGTGACTCATCTTTTTGCCACTCAGATGAGTATTTTTCTCTTGTTATCTGCATTTTGGCCAATTATGGGTCTAAAAGCACTTTTATTCAAGGTTGGAGAAATGTGAAATGTGTGCTGGTTAGCTTCAATTTTTATCAGTTGTTCTACTTAAAGATTTTCGGGAAAATTGAGGTAGTGCAATCAAATTATCATGTGGACTACCTGTGGATTTAATGGAATCAATTGTACAGTCAGTTGCCACGACAGTATCTGGCACTAAAAGATACTGCAGACTGTTCTCTTGGGCAACACATGTACCAAAATTGGAACGATACAGAGATTAGCATGGCCTCTGGGCAAGGATGACACGAAAATTCGTGAAGCGTTCCATAGTTTTGAATGTCAACTGTAATTGAAAAAAAAAAAAAGAATACTGCATAAATATTTAAAGGCGATTCAGAATTCTAGTCTAATGCAGCAGTTATGCACATTGGCTTATGGTTTTGGTTATTTATTTTAGCATTTATTTATAACTTAAACCTGGCATGGTTTGAGTGTCAGGTATATATATGTGTAAAAATACATATATATATATATTTGTAGTCTCTTTGCTTACTGATTTCTTAAGTGGCTTGCTTATCTATGATTGGTTTTTGGGAGATCGCAACTGTCACATCTTTTGATATGTGCTTACATTTCTTCCTTCCTCCGCTACTGATTTATTATTTTCTTGTAACATACCATAAGCCTGGGAAGAGCTGTCCTGCTGTCTTCATATATGTTGGAGTGGGCTGTATTGGTTTACTTTTGAGCGGTGGAGTTCATTCTGTGGTCATAAAATATTAAGAATATCCTCTAGACAGGCTGACCATACTCCTTGGAATGATTCTGCCCTTGTTTGTATAAATCAACACAACAACCCAGGAAAACATCTCACTGGTTTGTTGGATGTGCACATCATAAACTTTCTAGATATCGCCAACTTGCTCTCCAATGTGGAGATGAGCTACAATTCCTAGTGTTCACTGTCTTTGCCAATATGTAGCACTGTTAGAAGTTTTCACTGTGGCCAGCTGGTTGAATGGTATCTAGTTGTGGTCTGTTTAATAATTATTTGAGCCCCCACTCTTTCCAGATACTGTTTTAAAAGCCAAGTATACAGCAGTGCACAGAACAGACAAAAACACCTGCCACACTGAGTTAACATTCTAAGGGTTGGAAGACACAGTAAGGAAAATAAAAGGAAAGTATATAAGTTCTTAAATGGTGATAATTGTTCAGGATAGAAGTAAAGTGGGGAGGGGCTGTTACAGTTTTAGAAAGGGTGAACAGAGAAGGTCTTTCTGAGAAGGTGACATTTTGAATAAAGACTTGAGGAAGGTGAGGGAGCAGGCATTGAGGATCTGTGGGAAGTGTTTCAGGCAAGTTCAAAGGCTTTGAGTCTCTGAGATGAGCAGCCACTGGAGGGTTTTGAAGAGAAGAGTAGTATAGCTAATTCATATTTTAACAGGATCACTCTGGCTGCTGTGTTGGAGTAACCTGAAGACCAGTGAGGGAGGGAGCAGGTAGACCAGTTGGGCTATTGCAACAATACAGACAAGCGTTGATGTTGGCTGTGGCCAGGGTGATAGCAGTAGAGGTGGTGAAGCATGGTTGGGTGCTGGATCTATTTAGAGGGAATTGCATATAGGTCTTGCGACTGTGGAGAATAAAATAAAACTATGCACAGGTATGACACCAAGTTTTTGGCCTAAACAGCAGGGGGTTGCCATTATTTGATATGGATAAAACTGTTGGAAGTGCTCAGTTTTGCACATAAATTCATATTAAGTGAATTATATTAAGAGAATGATGTTATAAATATCCAAATGACCCTTGGCAGAAAAAAGGTTCTCCACCCCTGATTTACAAAGATGTGGGTAGGATGTAGGGAAAGCACAGAGATAGTACAGTATGGAGAGGGCAGGTAACAGCAGAGGTGTTACCACCCCTCGCTCCCCGAACTCGGAAGGAGATTCATGGAGAGCAGTTTACCGTGAGAGGATAAATCACCTTTGGTCAAGAGATCTAGCCAGTGAAGGTGACTCACAGGGAGAAAGACAGGGGAATAAATACTCTGGTTTTTAACTCTGCCTCCTCCAGTCTCTTGCCAGGGCTTCCCATAAGCTTAGCCTGCTGGAGGCCAGAAGGCAGGGAGGCCTGTTACTGTCATCCATATAGATCAACTCCTAAGGCAGAACAGGAAGGAGAAGGTTAGGGGGAGAACCTGGAGTAGCAAATGGAAGAGACCCAGCACAGCATATCATTTCTTTACTAAGTACAAAAGTAACCAGTAAAACTGGAAGTAACTTATCAACATTGAACATTTTGATTTTTAATATTGGACATTCAAGTTCAGCTATGATGTTATGGTCTTTCCTTAGTCAGTATGGTTTAATGTAAGGATCACAGGCCTCTAAGTTGAACAAGCCTGGATTTGAATGCTATTCTATCATGTTTCTGTCTAACTTTAGGCAATACTATTTCTCTCACTAGGAAATGCAAGAATAGAAAGAAATAAGTGCTTGATTTGATAATGTCAGCATGTTATCTGAAATTCACCATTAATTTTAGTTCTGCTTTGAATGTAACTATGGTGCCTAGATTTAGTATTTATCTAAATTTTTTGTTGATAGCTTAATTAACTATTCAGTAAAGTTAAATAAAGTCATTTTCCCCCTTGAATGTTAGACATATAGCAATGGTTGCCAGTAGAATTTACATATCCTCATTTTTCTGAGAAATTAAAAGTTCTTCTTGGGTATAATAGAACTGATTATTGAGTGTATTTATCAACTAACCAGTGGAGGTGGTCTGAGTCTCTGAACATTTAAAAGTTGGTGGTCTTAGGTTAATTCATAAAAAGTCTTTTCCTCTTTCTACCATTTTGCCACCTATAGTTGTTCCTCTGTTTTTCTCATTCTCAGTGTCTGCCATATGGCAAATGTGTAATTCAGACTTGGTTTCTCAGACAAGGGCTCTGCACTTTGAACTGTTCTTTATATATATATATTTTAAATATATTTTATTGATTTTTTACAGAGAGGAAGGGAGAGAGATAGAGAGCTAGAAACATCGATGAGAGAGAAACATCGATCAGCTGCCTCCCGCACATCTCCCACTGGGGATGTGCCCGCAACCCAGGTACAGGCCCTTGACCAGAATCGAACCTGTGACCCTTCAGTCCGCAGGCCAACGCTCCATCCACTGAGCCAAACCGGTTTCGGCTGTTCTTTATATTTTATTTTTTATTCTAGAATTAGCTGTGTTGGGCACACACCTCTGTGCAATTCTCAAATGTTGTTTTAGAAGGCGGACCTTTTGCTGAGAGTACATCTAGTTTAACGTGTTGTTTTCTTCCAGTAGGATTTCCATTGTAACAATGAATTTTTGTAGACCATTCA